TCCTGCTGCCTTGCTTGCTGGGACCAACCTTCTGAATTAGTTTTTAGCAAGCTGTGGAAGAAGCAAAACCCAAGGCTGTTCCTTCGTTATGCACTGGCTGATGGTCTCTCCCGCTCGCTCTGCCGCAGATCCTCCGGCCGGATGAGCACATAGCCAAGCAGCGCTACCTCAGCGGCAGGAACGTGCAGACGCGGGGCTCCCCGGAGTGGCTGTCCTTCGACGTCACCGAGACCGTTCGCGAGTGGCTCCTGCACAGAGGTGGGGGTCTCAGCTGGACCCTGTGTCCAGGCATCCGTAGAAATGTGGATCAATGTCGACAGGAGTATTTCCCTTTTTGCAGGAGCTTGGCTCACAAAGAGGACAGCTTCTTTCAGTCTGAGAACAAGCCATCCCCCAGATTGCTACCTCAGTGCATGACATTTGCTAGATTCCTAGCTCTGCCCTGGAGTCCCCACTGTGTAGCTCTCTGGGCTGAGTCAGAATGAGGATTCATCCTCTGAAGTAGGAAATTGTTTTCACCAAGAGATGCTGGAACTTCTTTTGGCTCTTTGATTGTATTTCTCTGCTTGTCTAAACTATAATCTGTAATACATAGAAAACGAGGATTGCTCTGGTTTCATTTTCATGTGGACTAGAGCAAATCTAGTACAGGAAAGACCAGCAAGAATCCTGGTTTCTTTAGGTGTTTACAACTTGGCAGGTATAAAGGTGAGGAAATACCAGAGGCTGACACACCTAGACAGATGGAGGCTTTAGCGTTGCAGAGAAATACCTCTGCCACCACTGCGCAGCCCAGCAGATACCTTATGGGGCAGCTCCCAGCAAAAACACTGACCCCATTCACAGCTGGAGCACAGGCACTGTGACTCACAGCTGGACTGGCCTCACAGATAGAAGCTAGGTGCCACTGAAAGCTGGAATGCAGGTACTGGCAAGCAGCCGCTCCCTGGAAGGGTAAGCTGTGAGCTTGTTGGCTCCTCCTTTTTCAAGCAATCTAAGTTGTGTCCTGATGGCTTGAGTTCAGGGCTGGAACTGCAGTGAGATCTGGGCAGGCACACTAGCTGACAAGACACCTCAGTGTATTAGGGGAAAAGGTGCTAGGCACCTTGTCAGTTCCCTGGGGAGCCAGATGTTTTAATTCATGACGCAACATAAAAAAGGAGCTTTCATAAGAGCCTTAGGTTCCCTTAGTCGGGCCCACACAGCATGACTGATCCAGGAAGTTATTATGAAAATAGACTTGCCTCTGGAAAGTCTGTGTGACTTAGACCACTAGCAGTTCAACAAAACAGGAGGCTGCAGCTGCTGAGAGAAATGGTTCCAGTGAAATTACTTGTCCAGATCCAACATGCTTGTTTTCAGATCTCTCCTTCAGACACTAACCAGAAGCCAGAAAGTAGACAGGTACTGAGGATGGCAAAATTGATTTAACACAGACACTGCAAGCCAGCTCTTCCAAATACTTGTTTTCCAGTAGAGCTTCTTGAAGATCGCAGATGCTTTTGGATGCTATAAAAATATATTCAGGAGCACCCCTCTCACCTCCCTAGGAAGCTCCCTTTAGCAAGAGCAAGGCTTTTGGCACAGCTGAAGCCACAAGACTCTGCTTCCCATTCTCTTTTCCAAGGCAGTTTCTGTTCCCTAATTCTGATAGCATCCCTGACTTTGAGACCAACCCACAGTCTAGGAGTTAACCACAGTACATGTCCTCGGTGAAATTTTCCTGCACCAGAAACTGTCCCAGCTGAGTCATAGTGTTTCTCACGAAGTCATCTTCTTTGCAGAGACCAACCTTGGCCTGGAAATTAGCATACACTGTCCTTGCCATACTTTTCAGCCCAATGGAGACATCTTGGAGAATTTGCACGAGGTCTTGGAGATCAAGTTCAAAGGTGACAAAGAGATGGGTTAGGGGAGGCTGTTGGGGAAGGGAAAGCCTAGAGTATCTAAAGAAAAATTGAGGTCATGCTTTGCGTATTTGAGCATTTTACATTATGTAGAATTTGTCTTACAGCATACACATCTGGGTTTGCATGTACGTTATATGGGTATATCCACTTTGTACATAGGTTAGAAATGGAATAAAGTAAGTGCAGGCTGGGTGGGTTTGCACAAGTGTCTGCAGAATGGAATAATTTTGTAGTTCAGTGTCTCTCTGTGAGGTTCAACTTGATGCCTTCTCAGATTTCTGTGGAGGCTCTGCTTTCCAGTTAGGGTGACTGAAACACAAGGAAGTAAGGCATCCTGTGTGAGGTGGCCCAGAGAGTCAGTGGCTTGGCTGGCCTAAGAACTAGGAACCTCCTGGCTTGCAGCCCTGAGCTGCAGCCACTGGCCCCCACAGGCTCCATTTCTGAGGCTGTTCTGCAGCGTGCCAATGATATGACATCTTCTTTAAACCATTCATCTTCCTGCCTGTCCTGGGACCAAAGCCAGGAGTGAGTGGGATGGATTAATGGCCCCACCAGCAGTTTGCAAATGGTAAAACAGGTGGCCCATAAGCCTCTATTTCAGGCCTGGAGCAGTCAGATTCACCAGGAGTAAAGGGATGCCTATGAGGGAAGAAGTCCCAGAGGAAGGGGACACAGTGCCTGAATCTCTCTCACCCTGTTTGAAGGGCAAGCATGAAAATGTTAAATGCAGTGAAAAGTCTTTTTGCATCCTCCACTTCCACACTGATTTCCTCTTTGTGGATCCTGTTTTCTCTGAAGGCATTGACAGTGAGGATGACTACGGCCGTGGAGACTTGGGGCGCCTGAAGAAGCAGAAAGACTTGCATAATCCCCACCTCATCTTGATGATGTTGCCCCCACATCGGCTGGAGAGCCCATCATTGGGAGGCCAGAGAAAGAAACGGGCCCTGGATACCAACTACTGCTTCCGGTAAGTGAGAATCCCGCCTGGAGTGACTAGGTCCTGTGCCTGAGGTAGGCGAGCCTGGTGAGAGTCCTTGCCAACAGGACAGGCAGAGCCCTTCAAGGGGGTTGTAGGTCAGTGCAGTGCCACGGGAGCCACATGAGGAGCACAGCTCAGCCAGCTGCTCCGTGCGGTGTCCAAGAAAGGAACACTGGCCAGCTCAGCAGAGTCACCCTGCGCTTCTGGCTGAGCCGCCGGCTGGAGGGAGACTTGCAGGCAGCTTCCTGCAGCACAGCCAGGGCAGGGACCTGCAGCAGCCCCCAGCAAGCTCCCGGGGTAGGTGAGCGGGGTGCTTCCTCCTGGGGCAGGCAGGAGCAGTACCCGGCTGCTGAGCTGCCCGCTCTGCTCGCCGGTGCCACTCTCTGCACTTGGCACAGGCAAACACCACGTCCCACTGGGCACTGCTGGTACTAGGCCTTCTGCTCAGGAAGCTGCATCATGGAGTCACATAAAAAGCCCCTCTTGGGATTCACCGTGTTTCCATTCTGTATTTCAGGAACCTGGAGGAAAACTGCTGCGTGCGTCCTCTCTACATTGACTTCCGGCAGGACCTTGGCTGGAAATGGGTCCATGAGCCCAAGGGCTACTTTGCTAACTTCTGTTCGGGCCCCTGTCCGTACCTCCGCAGTGCAGACACCACCCACAGCACGGTACATCCAGTATATTGTCCTGTCAAGGCTTGTGGCTGTGATTCCCCCTTCCTCCCTAAGTCTGATGATGTCCTGTCTCTTCAAAGCAGCAAAAGCAGTTCAGATGAATACCTGTAAAAAACTTTCCAAGGCAACTGCAGAGA